GTATTATTAACTACAATAGCCGGTCGCATGACAGCCACGGGAAGCCGAGGGGTAAAGAGATCAGTTGTTATCGGATTACATCGTTGAAGAGAAATTGTTCGCGCCATGTTCCCGAAGTAACAAAGAGCCGACGGAAGGGGGGAGAAGGTGGACAGGATGAGCTTGAGAGGAAGCAGCCAGCCTTACATTCTAGCTGCCTTGATTATCTGCCAGGCTTTTGTTCATCTGCTATTGAAATTTTCAGGCAATGTTAGCAGCTTTCCACTACAGGAACAGTCCCTCTGGAAACTGTTGACTGTGGATTATCCAGACTGAGTGAGACACTGTTCCTGTAAAGAAATGCCACACTTAACTCCTTAATCCCTGATCTACTGACTCAAATAACTTACGAGAAACTTTTTTAATGGTTTTTGTTTTGTTTAGTTAGTAACAACCTTCTACAAATACACAACTCAAAAAAGTGCTAGATTAGGATATCGCAAGAACTGAACACTGTATTAATGCATGAACTTTCCAAGTTGAAGAAAAGCATGTTTGTGTTTATTTTGGCTTCTTCTCCTTTCCTCAAAGTCATTTTCCTGTCTCCTCTACAGCTTTCAGCGCTGACACAGTGCTTTTAACTTAAAGTCACCTTGTGTGTACTTCTTCATGAGCATCTGCAGTTTAACTTGTGAAACTGGGTGTAGTAACCACCAAAGGGACTCCAGTGGATGATGTGGATGAGGAGAAATACATTTCCACAGACCTTTTTTTTTTTTTAAAGCAGTGGTCCGGAGACTCAAAGGGATGAAAACACTTGGAAGGGAGAACGGTGTAGTCTGGATCAAATACAGTTTTGGCTTTTGCTTAAAATTTTAAACTCACAAAGGGAGAGGAACAGAAAGAACAAGTAATTCTTCTACCTTGACCTCTTTAAGTATTCATTTTAAATAAAATGCTTAAAAAGAAGAAGCAGGGAACTGGAGTGATACTGCATTAATGCATTGGGAAAAAGCCTTTGGCACTGAAGATGATTAACAGCCTCCAGACAGTGTTAGATTTTAAATGGTGACCAAAAACAGCACCTTATTGTAAAACACCCACCTCGTGCTGCTGAGCCGCATGAATTAAAATAACATATTAATAAAGACAAAAGTGTCACGTACAACACTGTGCACATCACACTGAACTTGGACTGAAAAGTGGGACAGCACTGTGGAGGAAAGCAGCAGTGAATCAAAGAGAGGAAGAAACAAAGAAGGCAAGAGGGAGGAAGGGAGGGGTGGAGGGAGGCTTGGCCAGTGATTGAGTGCAACATGTGAGACATCTGCTGTTGAAACAAAGTAGGAGTTCAAAACGCTGCTTTCCAAGATCTACTTTCCATCTCAATAACTGTGGGTAAAACTTTGCACTGCTGCAGGACAAAACTCGGCAAGAGAAGAAGAAAAAAACCTCACATAAATGACAAAAGCAGGAAAGTCAAAAAACTACATTTTTCACAAAATACCAAAAGATCCGCCTGAGCTGCAAGGTTTCAAACATCAAACCGTACCACATTTGCTATAATGTATTGGAGCAGTTAGACCTACCTTACAGCAGCAGCCCTGAGCAATCCAATCCTCTCGACAGACATTTGAGTGCCTAAATAGAAACTACCTCATTTACAGACAAGCTTGCATTAAAAACTAAATGGAATGTGTCCATAAATGCAAAGTATCAGTGAGCAAGAACAGTAGCTTTACAGGGAAAAAGAATGGATGAAGGAAAAGTAAGAGGGAGAGGGGGTAAAATAGCAAAGAGTAAACAATAAACAGAGATATTGGACTGGCTGAGAGGCCACACAGGACAGAGACAGGGTGTGAGGGAGGGAAAGCTACACAGGAAGTTGATAATAATGGAGATGTAATGATGTCTCTGAGGAGAACCTAATGGAACTTGTCCAAAATCTCTCCGCTTATTTCCTCCTTTTGATGAAATCCATGAAAGGGTTAATAAAGATGAAACATGCTGAGAGGTAACCCATGATGTGAAACGTATTTTAGTGTAAACAGTAAAAAAGAAAAGGAACGCTTTCATTAATATATGTGGAGCAAAACACACCCTGATAACATGTCTCACTGATATATAACCAAACTTCAGATGATGTATCAAAGCTATAGTCAGACATCGGGAGGGTAACTTTAGCTGTATCGTCCTGTCTTTGGCACACTGTATATGTCTAGCTGTCAATGCCAAATTAGCTCAAGTATGACTTTGTAGGAAAAGCACGACAACAAGCAGGAAACCAAAAAAGGAAAAGAAGCGAGCAAGAAAGAAAGCAGGAATAGATGAAACGTGGTGTCGGACTGGGACAGAGACCAAATGAGCCCTGAGCTCATCCTCACAGAGACATGCTGAGCTTGTGCAGCAGAGAATAACTATTCTGTAGCACAGCAGCCAAATTCCTCTCCTCTTCCTCCTCTCCTGACCTTTTGGCTGACCCCTCTGACCCCAAGGCAACTGTCCCCATGCTGTGAAAACACTAGATAATGCAATACTTGCATCTGAGTTCCCTCACTGTCAAATCACTGAATATGATCATACTCAACTTCAAAGCTGAACATCTTGTTTCCGTTAGTTCTGAGACGCAGGCAGCCTCGTCTTTACTAGCATATGCTACAGCACCCTCCGCACAATATGCAGATTAAAGAAACATGCGTTGGATTTGGATTGAATCTGAATGACTTTCAAAAAGCACTAATGAAAGCAGTCTGTTTGTGATCCTGAACCAGCACTCCTGCACTAATCACTGCTGACCGAACAGATGAATCCAGCTTTTCTTTACTTATGCATTCCGATCTACTTGCTACAAAAATAAATATTCACCCTGTAAGAGAGGCTTCAACAAAAAACAAAACATCTGGTTCTTTTTGTTAACATTTTGCATGTCTGATTTCATTTTTCAGATGCTATCCTCCTCTAAAAAAAACAAACAAAAAATCGGCTGCTATTACTTTTGCATCTCCAGCCAGTCTACCCTGCTCTGAGTGCAAGTAAACATAACTTGTCTCCACAGAGACATGTACACTGAGCATACAGTGCAAATTTCTAACCCATCTGTGTAATCTCTTAGGATGGCGAGAGTCTCACTGCAAATTTAAAACGAACAGCTCAATGAACTCCCGGTTTACTGAGAGAGGCGAAACAGATCTCACAAAGCGTGTAATAGTGTGTTTTCAGCTTTGATAGCGCTCCAGCTCTACGGATGGCAGTCTGTCTGTTCATCGCTACATCCAGCCTGAAATATCACAACAGCTGTAGTACACACATTCAGGGTCCCCCTTTCAGAACGTGGGTGAATGTAACCAACAGCTCCTAATTTATTAATGAACAGCACCAGTTAGCTGTTGGATCTATGATGTTAAACAACCACCTGCTACTAACCAAAGCCGGTAGATGGTAGCACTCCAGGTGGAGAGTCATCTGTACAAACATGAGTGATTCCTCCCTGCTGTATGTAGTCTGTATCAAGTGTGCAACCGCATTCTGCACGAGTGAAAAAGTTAACCTGCAAGAAAAGAAGGCTGCTGGAGCTAGCACTGCGAGTCTGACAATGTGTGAATGCAATGAATTATGCAAAATTCCATTTAAGCAGCATTGCATGCAGTATTTGTACAGACATCTGTGAACCTTGTCCATTGACCTGCGTTTAATTTTGACTCTTTCCTGCGTTTTTGATGAGTTATTAGTCTGATTTTTTTCCCCCCTGATTCTCCTGAAGAGGAAATAAGTCACCGGGATTGTCAGGAAAGGTTAAAAAACTCACATCACTATATGCTGAAGAAAAATACAATATAACATAATGAAAATGTTATATCAGAAAGATTAAGACCACTGTTCAGCGCTTAACTGGAGTTTCTGTACACAAATAAAAATTAATTTAACAAACACCGTGTCCAATTTATGAACTAACGTCAGCCCTGGATGTGGGATTTTAAGCGACAACAAGTCAGAAGTCATTTTGCCATCACATAGCCACAGCCTAATTTAATTTCATACAGAAAATAATATCAAATGCATTAAGCTCACAGGTATTTGACCCGGTCATACTTCAGACTGAACTGTAATCCAGTTGTCGAGCTGACTTTTCAACTAGCTGATAATAATTTGGGAGAAAATGTCCAGCACTTTAAATCATTGCAAGTAAATTAAGTATCGAGTATGTGCTACACAATAATTGTTACCTCAGCACGAAAGCAAGGGAGTGTTTGCTTGCTTGTCATCTTGCTAAAATGACTTGAGTTTCTAAGTGTGAGATGTAATTCGAGTATGTCAGAAAGCCTGAGATATTGAACATGTACACAAAGACGTACTAATAAGTTCATGCCTTTGTTAGGCTCAGGTTTCCCCTGCAAACATCAGAAGAAATCACCACAAACATGTGAGTCAACGCTGAAACCCCCACAGAATATGGTTTCTTTGCACATTAAATATTCAACAAGTATTTAATAAAGGCATGAAAATTTTTATCAGTCTATTAAAAAAAACAGTCAGTTGTTGATTTTTCATGGAAGAATCTGTATACACATCCAAGACTGTTAAATAACCGCACTAATAAGTGGAAAGGCTGCATCGAGACTTGGTGCATGTAAAATGCCTTTCAGCCTCGTTCGTGCACTAACAAACATAAAGGGCCTGAAAATTCATGTAGAAGAAACAAATATCTAAAAATGCTTTACAGGAACAAGAACACAGGAATTCTCACGCTTAGAAGGCAAGAATAACAAAATGAGCTGCGCAGACTCTCCAGTCTGGAATGATGCTCATTTTCAGCTGCAGAGACTAAACACGGGGCAAACAATGGCATAAAGAGTCAAAGCCGATCCATCACACTGAAATCCTCTGATACAAACTCAAATACAGACAAAGGAAAAGTCACATTTCCATTTGATGTCACAATTTTGTGCATAAACACTGCTTGTAGAAGACGATCAACACTGAAATGACGGATAACATCAAAATGAATCACACGGTGTACTCACAGCTCCACTCTGCAGCCAGTCTACAAGAGCCTGTGCGGTCTCTGCAGGCAGCTGTGCTCGGAGGCTGTTTCGCTCCTCCTGGCTGGGTCGAAGCTCCAAGGAAAGTTTGAGGTCCTCAGCTAACTGAAGGACCTGCAGCGGTCCAGCACTGACGGGGGAACCCAGGTCATACATGCTGTTAGAGAACTCCATCGCTGCTGCTTTTGAACCTGGTGTGTGAGTGATGGAGGAGGAGAGGATTAGAGGACATTAATATTACTAAGGAAGTCAAACTTTAATCAGAGCCATACATCTTTCTAATACATGGCCTCCAAACCGTCCATGTGTCACCTGGATCATTTCCCTGCACTGTATGGCCCACGCTAACAAACATCTGGATGCACTTAAGCAATCGTGGCTCTAAAACAACAGCCACACATTGCAGAGGCTTCAGACAGCAAACAGAGCCCAAAATTAACAAAAGAGCACGCAACAGAAACAACCTGCGTCCATTTATCATGAAGAGGCTGAGTTTAAGCTACACATCTGTGGGCTTACTTTATTTGAAATAAAATAAGCAGAGAGAAATCGCTGACATTTCAGCTGAAATGCTGAGAATTCTTAAAGTGAATTATTTTATCTGCACTATAAGGAAAAAAAATGAGAAAAATTTGGAATGAAAATAGTTTTTGGGTTTTTTTGATTTGTCACGGTCTTTGGATTTTATAGAGAGTTTGAAAGGTTTAGCTTCCTGTGTTGAGTTAATCTGATATCCTTCATTGTGTCTGTTCCCTGTGCTTCCTGTGTTGCCCTGTCCACGGTCTCATGTCTCACTTGTAGCCGATTCCTGTTTTATTTTGGAGACAGTGTTTTTAATGTGTCTCCTGTTGCTTTTTTTTTTGTTAAAGTTGTGCTTCTGGGCTATAATTTGTTCTCTATTGTCATTTATAACTATACCCTGGAGATATGGCTGCTATAATCAGTGTTGAGAAGGTTACAAAATGTATTCCACTACAGATTACAGATACATGCCCCAAAACGTATTTTGTAACGTATTCCATTACATTACTCAATGAGAGTAACGCATTCTGAATACTTTGGATTACTTAATATATTATCGTGCTAAAACATGAACACAGCGTACAGTCGAGTCTTAATAGCTTACTTACAGCTGGACTCGTCAGGCACTCTTCACTTCAGGCTGCAGTGGTTATTATTATGTTTACATGCTTACACTCTACCTATTGCCTTCATATTGAATAATTTTTTTGAATAAGAATTTTTAAAAATATTTCGTCACGTCATTATGCGGGCCGCGAAATTGAGACACAGGCATTAGAGCCTTTTCATGCGTGGTTTGTTTGGGTTTCCACCAGCGTGGAATTACCAAACATAGAGAGGGCATAGTCTAACATATGAAACAGGAAAAATAGCCGTGTAATCCATTTATTTCAACAAAGTAACTGGATACCACCTTTTTAAACGGTAACTGTAACGGAATACAGTTACTCATATTTTGTATTTTAAATACGTAACGGCGGTACATGTATTCTATTACTCCCCAACACTGGCTATAATAATACACTTCTTACAAATCTTTTATTAACACTTTGAAACAAATTTAAGAATAATTTTACTTTGGAAAAGCACATTGAAAGTAGAGCTGGGCGATAGAACGATAACGATATGTATCGCGATATAACTTTTTCTCGATAGAAAAATTAAACTATCGCGATAGACCTCGCCGCTCTTGTCCTCTAAAAAAAAAAAGAAAAAGAAAAGTACAGCCAATCCAAATTACGTAGCGCAGAGCCGAACCAATCACAGCCGCAGCGTCACGTCACGTGACTTGTTACGTACAGCACAAGTGCCAAGCCGCACATGTGTATTTGTTTGGGAAGCAGCTAGCCACCGTACTGCCCGGGTAATGGAGGAAATGAGTGTGCCGACTAGAAAAATCAACCGAGCGTGACACCGAAAAGAAAACAGATGATGGTTCCAATGCCGGAGAGATTGTCGAACGGAAGAGCCATAGAAGTTCCGTAGTGTGAAGGTATTTCGGCTATTTCAAGTCTGACAAAAAACAGAGTAGCTGCACTGTAAATTGTGCCGAAAGCAAGTCTGGAAATACAATAAACTGGTGCATGCGCTACGTCCACATGTACCCGGGTATTTTTGAAAACGCAGATTTTTCTATGCGTTTGCACCTTTCGTCCACACGTAAACTGCGTTTTTGGTCACTGAAAACGAAGATTTTTGAAAACTCCGTTTTTGCATTTACGTGTGGACCAGAAAAACGGAGAAAACGCAGCGTCAAAGGTGTGCGCATTTTTTGACGTCACACTGTGCGCCACGTTATTGTTTCAGTGAAATGAATTTCTACAATAATGTTACTGTTAATTCTACTGTCTGCAGTCCCTCAACACATACAACTCGGTTCTGCTTCTATGCCCCAGCTTTGTTTACTTTTTCCCACCGAGGCTTCTAGACTTCTGATTGGCCAACATTTCTGCACGGTTAGGAATCTAGCGCCACCTGCTGCTTTGGCATGTTCATAGCAGCGTTTTCCTTCATTTCTCCCTTTATGTGTGGACGGGATTATTTTTTAAAACGAAAACGGAAAATCTCCGTTTTCAAAAATACCTGTGTACGTGTGGACGTAGCCTCAGTCTCTGACTGGAAGCACTAATTCGTCATTCGGCTTTTGTCAGACTAAAGTAACTGTTAAAACTGTTTGAAAAGCTAAGCTATACAACAAGGAGAGATTGAGAATTTCCTGTTAGTTCTCAGTTTATTTGATATTGACAAAAGTTAGTCAGTTTTGTCTGTTCTTCTGTAAAACAAACTAAGATTTATTTTTAGAATTAATATTTTGTTTCTAAGTGGAATTGACAATTTAGTCTGTTTCGTTTGTTCTATTTTGAAACTTAAACGCTTTAGCGGCTGCCTTTTGTGTAGTTTGCAATATTTGCCTTTATTTATCTGAAAAAGTCTCATGTTCCTTAAGTACATCTACCCTGTTGAACTTATTATGGGAAATAAATATTTAAATAAAAACAAGCTGCTGATTATTTCACATTTTACTTGTGAGCAACGGCACATTTAAATCTTACAAATATAGTTATTTGGCTTATATCGTGATAGATATCGTTATCGCCTGAAATGAAAAAAACATATCGTGATATGAAAAAATCTTATATCGCCCAGCTCTAATTGAAAGCTGAAATAAAATCGCCAGTTTGGAAGCTGGTGTTTCATATATGATGTGAAAACTTTCCTTTTTGCTAAAGCATATAGTTAGGGCTGGACCAGGTGACCCTGAATCCTCCCTTAGTTATGCTGCAATAGACGTAGGCTGCAGGGGGATTCCCATGATGCATTGAGTTTTTCCTTTCCAGTCAGCTTTCTCACTCACTATGTATTAACAGACCTCTCTGCATTGAATCATATCTGTTATTAACCTCTGTCTCTCTTCCACAGCATGTCTTTTATCCTGTCTTCCTTCTCTCACCCCAACCGGTCGCAGCAGATGGCCCTGCCCCTCCCTGAGCCTGGTTCTGCCGGAGGTTTCTTCCTGTGAAAAAGGGAGTTTTTCCTTCCCACTGTCGCCAAAGTGCTTGCTCATAGGGGGTCATATGATTGTTGGGTTTTTCTCTGTATATATGAAGCGCCTTGAGGCGACTTTTGTTGTGATTTGGCGCTATATAAATAAAACTGAATTGAATTGAATTGAATGTCAGGTAAGCAAAGCATGCAAATTGTGATGCAATGGCAAGTTCAAGTTGCCCGCTACTTAGTACACCGTCAAGGCCTTGTATTAGTAAATGTGTATGTAACTGATTACAACTGTAAAGCATTTTAATTTCAGAGGTAGTCCTAATAATTTATTTCTGCACCACTCTGTGACCCGTCTGCGTCTGATAACATCTACATCCCAGGACTGGCAGCATATAGACAACTTATTAAAAGGTAGCTGTGATAAAGGTTTGCAGCTGCTCCTCTGCCTGCAAACAGATCAAAAACAACACCGACACCAAAATCGTTAACCAGCAGAGTGCTTTCACAAGTATTACCGCAAGAAGCTTTTCGACCCCAAAAGCACAGAAAAAGCTGTCTTGATCATGGAATGCAATATGACCGACATATCTAAATTCCTGATAAGTGGCTCTAATTTCCACGTTAGCGACTGGCTGATGCTATCGCTAATGGCATTTTTTATGTCTTTCTATTTGTGGTCAGTGAGAGCCGGAACAAAGGCCTGGGTGAGATCAGCACATTGATGGCAAATAGTAACAACAATTACAACAATGATAGCAGTAAAGCCTCTTTTCTCCACTTGTCTGTGTGAAAATAAGTCGCAGGGCAACTGTGAGAATACAACTGCAATTTTATTTCATCTGCTGATTATTTTCTCAATTGATGAACTGCCTCGACTAACAAAACTGGGAATAACTGACAGTGTTATTTTTAAAAATTACTTGATTGATTGAAGTTCCCACAGATATCCAGCAAATGAGAAAATTACAAAAAATGATTAACTCACTATCAAAACAGTTTCATCAGTCACCACAAGTGATAGTAAAGTAACTACTAATAGTTTACCATTTACCAAAATTTTACTTTCATTAGTGACCAAAACATTTCTGATTCTGACGGATTCACAGGAAATCCTCCGCATCAGTCGTTCTCTGCCTCACCCTGTGACTGAACTGATGTGTTTTCCCACATCATGCTGCTCGATCACATTAAACATTTACCCCACTGTCAGTCTAATCTTTTCTGTCCAAGGCTGAGCTGCCTGCAACAAACTTTGTTATACTGTACAAACACAGAAAACGAGGCAGTCTCACAATTACAAGCCTGCCATTTATTAACCTGCTGTGTTCAGAAATTTTACACTGTTACATGGGGTTAATATCTCAAAATGTTATCTTATTAACTCAACCTTTTGAGAAAATAACTCAAAATTGAGAAATTAGCTTGAAATTTGGGGTTAGCAAGTCAAAAGTTTAAGATAATAGGCCAAATTTTTAACTTATGGATCACAAAAAAAGGTATGAGCTGAACTCAAAGCAAACCCAAACACTGAACTATATCATTTTTAGCTCTAGTAAGTTATATTTTACGGATGAAGAATGGTAAACAATCTGCACTCATGTAGCCCTTTGGACCTTTGACCTTATAGGTTACATAATGTGCTTGACAATATGTTTGCTTGTCATAAGTTGAAGCTTTATCAATATTGTACATAATCATTTCCTGCAGCTCTACTGTAAAAAAATAAATACAAATGCATTGTCACACATACACCTATGACTGGGGATGGATATTGACAAGATTTTATTGATACAGTTGCCACAAACGACTCAGCTCTCATGTCTGCTTCCTTACTGGGTTCTGATCAATTTTGGGTGCATGGAAAACCCAGTATTGACAAATGAATCGACAAGCCTTAAGGTATATGAATCAGATGGATTAGACAAGGGCAGCGACTCTGGCTGCAAAAACACAGACTTCCAGCTGTATAGACGGATAAGGGAAAACCACCCTCAGGTTTCCTTGATATGTCACCTCGGTAAATACTCCAAAAATACTTTTCACTTTGTAAATTATGTTCCCCATCAATGTTCAGAACGAGGATAAAGCATTGCATGCTTCAGAGCAGGCCTATTTTCTGCCTGACAAGCCACTAATGCATGAGCATGCTGACTCCTGGTTTCAGATAGCAATGAACAAGAAGCTCAGGCCAAGGCTTTAAAATACAGGCCATGGACAGTGCTACCTGACAGCCTCCTAGTAGACACGCCTATCGTATCAATTTAAAAAGTCTTTATCGTATTGTTCTTAAGTTATAGCATTTCTAAGATTTTCAGAGATTTTCAGAAAATTTGACCTCTGACCTTGTGGTCGAGGTCACTGAGACTCATCCAAGATGTTTAGCAGATACGCCTACGATATCATTTTGAAACTCCTGCGTTGCTTCATTCCCGAGTTATCACTTTCACAAACTTGGGTGCCCACCTCACCCACCCGGCAATACCTCATCAGCCTTTTACGGCCGAAAGGTAAAAATGAACCAGAGTGGGTGACATCATAGTGGTTCGGTCCATCTTTAACATACAGTCTATGAGTAGCAACAAATATACCACTTACGTTCTGGACGCTTCTGGTGCCGGCAAACACATTTTTTTTATTATGTTGCTGTGGCTGATGCACAAAGTTTCCACTTTAGTTCTCAGTAACAATCACTAATTGCCCAAATTACAACAGCAGTACGGAGCAGTGTTACAGCATTAATGCAGACCAGATGATGCTTATTTGTAGCACACGGTGCTGGAGAAGCCAACCTGTGTGCAGATACTGGTTCATGACATGCTGAGACTTCCACTCACCTCTAAACACTAACTCAAAGTTTACACCTGTTGCTTTCTAGCCTTTACCTGCAATGATGTCGTCCATCTGCTCCAGTGCCGCCTCGAGCATGTGACTGGCCTCTGTTTCCATGGTGATGGCAGGTAGCATCAGATCTCAGGTGTTCTGATGTTCTACAGAAGAATTAAAAAAAATAAGTTAAGTAGCAACTTGCTGTACAACGTACTCGAGACTTTGACAGAAAAAAATATATATTTGTGGATTTCTGGAGTAGCGAGTGGTTCCCCAAACCAAAACATAGAGACCAGTGCTGCACCACTCCTTGAGACAGGGAGGGTTTTACTTACCCAAAGGTTATGCATATTCATATGGAGATACAAAAGAAGACTAAATCTGATTATTTTTGTGCTAAGAAAACAAATCTTTATTTTTTTTAAAAACTGGTCTGCTTGAAAGTAGTTATAGCTGTTCCCATGATTTTTCTTACATTTCACCAGTTGAAAATGGATGGATTTTAGTATTTGGCAACTAATATGAAAATAACAAAGTTTTACAGTTTAGAGTAAAAGATCAATCATATATATTTAATCTATATAATATTCTGGATATTTAAAATTGAGCTGTTGTATATATTAGAGCTATTCCTTATATTTTATAATGTTGTAATATATTGAATTCCTTAATCTGTAACTGTTCTTATTGTCTTGGAGCAACTGTAACCACATAATTTCCTTACGGATTAAATATTCTGATAATCTCTCGGATGGCCTGGGAACGCCTTGGTGTTTCCCCGGATAAACTCGGCTTCTCTGCTTAGGCTGCTGCCCCCACAACCCCGCCCCGGATAAGCAGAAGAAGATGGATGGATGGTGGATTCTGATTCTAATATTACTAATAATAACCATAAATTCTGCCAGTATTGGTCAACAGGGCCAATAACAACAACAACAATAGGCCGATATATTGGTGCACTGCTAGTAAAAGCTTAATTGCATCAATGGGTTTTTTGGGGTTAACAATTTTTGGGGTTAACATTTTTACAGCTCCAGGTGATAAAAACATCCCTAACAGTGACTCACAGGACAACAAAGAGTTACGTTGGACTAAAGTTATATACCTATGTGGTATGTGACTTTTGTTGCCATGATGCCAGGTCTCTCTTGGAAATAAGAGTTTTAATCTCAATGAGATTTTTTTACCTGGATAAATAAAGCACTAATAAAAATAATAAGCTGCATTAACCATCAGTCACCACCAGGGTCCAAAAAATGCCGATAAATGTTTAAATGTTCTTTTAATTTGATTAAAAATCTCTCTCAGGCTTTTTGCTGAGTTTTGAGGTCTTTGCATTGACACAGCGTACGTCATTGTTTTGTGTTTTGTTTTATTTTACAGACACAGATATAACCCACAAACTCTCTTTAAAAAAATCCTCACTACGTGCACAGAGGCAGCGTACATGTAACTAGGAACAACCGTACAAGAACAGCCATGGCTTTCCATCCATCATCACCGCCTCCGGCTGCCCTCCGACTCCTGACATCCTTGTTTCCTGCTTTTCAGCCCTCCCAGTCCTCCCTTCTTTGCCTGGCACTCATCCTTTTTCTGTCATCTCTCCTTCAAGGCTCTCACCCTGCTGTCACGCTGTCATGCCAGCTTACAAACAAACAGACATCATCATGTTCAAATCGAAGAGGAAGGACGGTGATGTAATCTACTGACGCGTGGGAGAATAAACCCCCCTGCACAGCACACTAATGCTCATCTGCATTAGCACCAACTGGCACATCATCATGACAAGTGACAATGAAAATCAACATGAAACACACTGAATGGAATTACAGTAACATGCTGCCGTTACTCTGTAAGACAGCATCAGAATTCCCCAAAGATTCCCCATGATGTAATGTGATGGGTGTGTCTGTGTGTGTGTGTGAGTTTGTCTGTCAGGACTGTCAAATAAAATATGAAATACACGAACAAAATGAGTCTTCGATTGTTAAAAAAGAAAGAAAGAAAGAAACAGCAAAGCTGGCCGCTGTCTGTCTCTGGAGCTTTGCAGTACGCTGCAGGCGGCTACTACTCCGGGGGTTAATGGAGCCTTTGAAAGCATTTAAAATATAACAATAATAATAATAATAATAACACAGCAGGGTAGAGTAGGTGCAGAGACAAAGACTAATGAATGACTTTACCTACTGTAATTAAGAGAACATAATAGAATGACTGAACATCCAAAGGTCCTTTTGTTTATTACTTATTACAGTCATATTAGTAAATATAACTGTGCGTGTAGTATTTTGTATGGAAGCCCGTTTCTGCCACAAAAAAAAGTATCCATAACTTGAAATTTCAAGTTATCGTCCTTGAAATTTTGACTTATTTACTCAAAATTTTGAGAAAAGTAACTCGAAATTTCGGGTTAGCTCTGCCAATCGGTAATCTACATGAATGACGTCATTTTCTTGTTATCCAGAAGGATACGGCGCAGAGGAATGCGCATTCAAAAATCGAGAGTACGTTTGCTGATAATAACGCCATGCGATTCAGCTAATAACGCAAGGATTTCATAATTTGTGAAGCCACGCTGAAAATAGTCAGCAATTTGTGCATTCATGACTGGCTGTAATACTGGTAGGTTAGCTGTAGCATTTGTAGCTGAGGGCTTCCGGGTAACACGGAAATGACGTAATTCCCGCAGATTGATACTGACTGGCAATGCTAACTTTTCTCAAAATTTTGAGACAATAAGTCAAAATTTGAGAAAATAACTCAAAATTTCAAGTTATGGATACTTTTTTTTAGCGGCAGAAAAGGGCTTCCATAATTTTGCCATTCTGTGGGAACAAACTAACTTTTAAATGGTTTAAACCTGCGTGATTTTTTACAAATGACTACGCCAACATTACTTTTTGGTAACTGGACAGAGCTACAGTGTGCATTTGTGTGCACAGATGAAGAAGCATGTGTTTAAATAATGCCCAGTGTCATGTTCATTATAAATGACTCCATATTAGCATGTGCAGGCCGAGGGTGACAGCACCATTCAGATACTGTGACACACTGTCTCTGTCCAGCTGCATTGTTGACCTCGACAGAACAACGTCGCCTTTGTGTCCACTGTATGTGTGTGTGTGTGTGTGTGTGTGAGCTTGAAAGGGCCACAGTGTGTGAAACTAAGGTAATCACAGTTTTACAGTGAGACTGCATATAAAGGTGCTGATACACAGAGATTACTGATCTCCACAGAGCTGACTGTGTAAAGAACAAGATCCACTGTGGAGAGAAGTTTCTATTGAGAGGGTTGAGTGGTCAGGGTGTGTGTGTGTGTGTGTGTGTGTGTGTGTGTGTGTGTGTGTGTGTGTGTGTGTGTGTGAGAGCCTCTGAGTTTGCGTGTGAGTGGATAGATTGCTCTTGCTAAAGAGATGTGTCACACTGAAACTGCTTCACACTAACTGAAAATTAATATATTTTCACTTTTATCATCTTTTCACTGCTTTCTTAAAGCACCTTAACTAAGATGACAATTTTCAAACTTACTTTGCAGAAAGAAGCTATTAAAAAAGAGAAAGTACATACTGGAGAGCTTATTTAAGGTGTTTGATATCCCATCAGTCGCCTGTTACAGTCAAACAATCAAAGAGCAATTAGGTAGTGTGTGTGAACATGACAGGCTTGCTCATTCATGGATGTGAGAAAACAGACACGCCTTTTCCCACGATCGCAGATGCACTCCAGAAAAACATGTTTGTCAAACGTGGAGATAAATGTGACCTGTTTCTTACAGCTACACCCTCCTCAGTGTTGACAGCTCTCTCACCTGAGTCAAAAGGAAAGCGGATACTCGGCCAAATTTAATCCGGTCTCTAACCTCATGTGCTGACAGGACATATCCGAAACTTCATGTCTACAGCTAAAAATACACATTTTTTTAAACTACTTTTACAGCTTAATTCAAGTACCAGTTTCATGAGTAAGATGAGCCCAACACATCTCATTACTCAGACCATTACAACCTGTCCTCTAAGCAAGTAGGGGCCTGTGCTATGATGCAGGATTTGGGACTTAGTGAGGGTTAACGCTGGGTTTTCAGCGACTCACATCCTACTGAGGTATCTCGTTATGTTAACTTATAGTGCAGAACTAACAGGCTCCACTTAAGTTATGCTCAAGATAAGAGATGAACATGTACAAAATCAAAGCCTAAACAGAAAGCAGAGCTGACATTCCTGGAAGCTGCTTTGGACCTTTGTGTGCAGACAGACAGAAGGTTTATGGTTCTTACACATCCGGTCAGTGGTCATTTTCTTTTGGCATAAGAAAGCATGTCACTTTTATTCAGTTTACAAAACTTTATGGAAAGATGAACACTGTGTCGCTTTTAGTATGTTCTTACATACTTAACTCCTTTGTATTTTTTGAATTTTATAGTCTATACTGCTGTAAGCAGACCTGTCCGTGCTCTCAGCTGGTCATGTGATGCCAATACTGCCTCTTTTGTGAATGTGCTCACAGTTAGATTTGGAAATCCTGGGTTATACTGAAGAGTTGATAACCACCTTCTTGTGACCGCCTAGCCTGATTTCTGATGTCAGGGAAAGATAAGGAAAAGTGGGTAAACTTGCTTTGTAGCCACTGCTCCAGTTTCACCAGGTTTCCATGTTGACAGAACAGCTTCCGAACAACAATGCACGACTGGTCAGCACCTCTCTGCATAGCCACCTCTTGCATTCACACCATTTAGAAATACCTACTGCCCTGCAGCCTGCTGCCAGTGGGGATAAACTGCTATCTAAATATCCTCAAATCCAGCACGCTGCAATCCAAGCACATTTGTCTCACAAAGCGACTCTATATGCTTGCTGCAGGTTTGAGAACCAAACACTTCCCATTTCAGACTGAAAAAAAAATCCAAAGTGCTTTGATTTAAAAACCCTTCAAAGAAATAAAACAGAATCTTCTGGCGCCGGACGAGATTCAGGTGTTGAAATTGTTGACTCGGCCAACGAGGGCTTCAAAACAAAGCATGCATTTGATCCACGAGTGTGCCAAGTGATTATAATCAAACATCTGCCTGTGTGAACTAATATCAAGAGATCTGTTCCGTTCACTTTATTGAAAACAAGGGAGTTTGTCTACTGCTATATGCCATCACACCCGCTCCCCCCTCGTC